TTTGCACCATCACGTGATGGCAGCCATGACAAGAGGCACAACAATAGAGTCGTTCTTCCCTGGGAAACTGAATCCTTTCTCATGTAAATCAGATTAGACCAGATTCAATTGTTCCTGCCTCCTGTCATGGCTGCTATATACACCAAAAAAGGTGTATTGTCATGATAAGACAACTTACTTAGGTAATAGCCGTCGTAAGCAGGGTTTTTCATAAAACACTGGTATTTACGATAGTGCATTGCATTACTTGGACAACCCTATTCAAAGAAACAAAATACATCCCATTAACTTGGGACTATCATTGCAAAGCAGTAAGCTAGAAAGGCAGGGAGCTAAATAAGATGTTTCCGATAATGATTCTGAAAGTGTTCAAATGAATACAGCTATTTCCAAAAAGGCTAGCAAGTTGTAATAAAAGGATTTGCTACCTGTTGCGAGTTGCAAGTTGTATACCCAACTAGAAAGTTTTTATATTCATATGCAAATAATGTCAGGAAAAAAAAAAAAGAGTTGTTTTCTTTCTTTTTTCTTTCTTTCTTCTATTTTCTTGAAAAAAAAAAATGCGGCGTGACCGGCAGTCTGCAATAATTAGCAATTTTTCTAAATTATCAAAAAAAAAGGCATTCAAGAGGTGTTTGCTTTTAAATAAGTTCAGACCTCCGTTCCCCTCAGACATAAAAAGTCACTTACTTGTGTGTTACAGATTTCCCATTCACCAATGGCAGATCCTTGACAAGGCTTCCCGTCATGCATTGGTCTATCAAAACAAAACAAAATAATCTAAACGAAACAGAACAAAATGAAAGTCAAAAAAAAAAAAAAATTGAAGTGAGACATCATAATAATCAAAAAGAATAATCAATAATTAATAATAATTAACAGTTGATCATCTATAAATTGATTTTTAAAAATCTATAAGTACCTTGGACTGTCACATACACGAGTTCGATGACGTAATCCTCCTCCACAAGTTCGCGAGCATGCGCCGTACGGACCCCACTCACCCCATCCACCGTCGACAGCAGGAGGAAGACTGGAACCAACTTCGACACAATAGCCACCAACGCACCACTTTAAGATACGTAAAAAAATTAAATGAAATAAAATAAAGACACTTCAAATTTAAACCATCACACATTTTTCAAACTGTTAGTATTTTACATATATTACGGATAACTACTTTAAATGGCGGTCCGATGTTAAAGAACCACTGAGGCCCTAAGTCTCTACACTTATACTGTAAACACCTCTCATGTTTGTAAAGAGCCTTCGAGTATACACATATAATTCGCGAGGGGGCTATGCAGATCATTAAAATCAAATGCTACCTGGACAACGTATGTTGCTTTCAGGCAATGTTCATTCATGGAGAGAATGTCACGTGACTAACCTTTCGATTTCCACATGGTGTTCCATCGACTGGAGGAGTACCGATGTTACTGAAGCACCCTCCTCTTCCAGAACAATACAATATAGCACAGTTACTCTAAATAGAAATATCGATGAGGAAAAATATAAAATGAGGAGTCTATAGAACATGACATAGTGACGTTGACAGGGCAGAAAAACGGGTTCTACTTTCGACGTTTATGCGTTAATAAGCTACCCCCCCCCCCCTTCGATAAATAATGTCCAATCCCTATCAATAATAAATATCTATTCCAAAAAACGTTGTCGGTTGGAGATCTGAAATCTGAAACTAAGTAGCACGCTGCAAATTGTAGTACATTCACAGCCGAACAAAGTATAGTTTCTTTTAGATTGGTATATGAAGYCTGACCTTTGAGTTAGAAATGTGATTTCTCCGGAGAACATAAAAGCACGAAAATTCTGTTTAGTCTCAGATAGCCCATTTCAGATATCCGACCGACAACGTTCTTTGAAATAGGTGTATGCAAAGTAAAAGAATAAGGAAAATAAAAGAGATTTTTCTCACCGTTGTGACAGGGCATTGTCTGTATTCAGGACCGTATAGAAATTTACATTGTTGATCTGCGTCAAACGTATGGCCTGGAGGTAGTCTCGGTAGAGTGATATTGGCTGGTGGGATATTGTTATAACAAGAAGCTCGTCTGAAAAATAATAAAAGTTATTGAGTTAGCAAATGAATGAAGGAAGGGAGGAAGGGAGGAAGGGAGGAAGGGAGGAAGGGAGGAAGGCAGGAAGGAAGGAAGGAAGGAAGGGAGGGAGGAGGGAGGGAGGAAGGACGGACGGACGGACGGACGGATAAAACATTAAAGACAATTTCTAAAAATATTCCTATTCTTCATTTTTCTCACCTGAAAATAGTTTTGAACGTGTTGGCACTACATGTTGACCATTGAAAAGCACTTGGCCCGTACGCTTGACCTGCGCTCATGATGTATCCTTTGGCACACTTGCCACTATCATGGGGGAGGCCAAAACTGACCAGGAAACAAGTAAAAAAGAAATGAAACCTTTTGTCGAACCACAATGGTTCTTACACGAAATGTTGTGGAATATGGCTGCATATTTTCAGAAGTTATTTTTCGATTCAATCATTTTCTCACAAGCTTGCGCTTTAATTTATTTGGATTCATATCTGGGTGACATTTATCTGATGGAAACTCGCGCTTTGATTCATTTGGCATGCATATCTGTGACATTCATCTGATGGAAACTCGCGCTTTGATTCATTTGGCATGCATATCTGTGACATTCATTTAATGGCATTTCAAGGTCGGCTTTATTGGAGACTTACTTGTGAGCCATTTCATGCGCCACGTAGAAGGCAGCATCAAGTCCAATGGCATTGTTTACCGCAACACCCCTGCTAAGACTACATGGATACCCTGAATATGCGACACCTGGGAAGAAAAACAATCATCTCGGAAGTTATCGTTGCCTGTGATAATGTTGATTCGTTTGTGATAATAATGAAGGTGATGATGCTGGTGATTCTTGTGATGTTGCTTGATGCTAATGATGCTAATGATGCTGATGGTGGTGATGCTGATTATACTAGCAATGATGATGATGGTGATAATGGTGATGATACTGGTGTGATTTTCATGTAATGATGATGATGATGATGATGACGACGACGATGATGATGATGATAAAGATAACAACTATGATGATACATGATAATT